GGGTGGGCGATATGGAAAAAACATCATATCACGATTTTTTTTTTTTTTTTTAATATCACGATTCATGATTTTTATCACGATTCTTTGTCATGTTGGTCTTACTATTTTGCAAGTTGTCTGAGCAGTACAGCCAAACTAATTTCCCTATTAAGAAGACAAAGCCTTTCAAGGTAACAAAAAAAAAAAAAAGAATGGCAGATATTTAGGCTAAAGTGGGCGAAGATAAAAACGTTGTCATTGTTTTATCTTTGTTATTAAAAAATAAGAACAAAGATACACATTACAACTACACATAATATACAAATAAAACAAACAGTGCTTTATTTTCAGGTACAATAGGTGTATTTAGCAGGAGCATTCAAGAAATTGAATGAAATATAAAAATAAAACACTATAGAGACTGATTCCTAAAGCAACTGTATTAAAGTTCTTCAGTCAAGAATAGCGAGTGATTTTTCTCATTGCATTTTGTTGTTTTATTAACATTAAAGGAATAGTTCACCCAAAAATAAAAATTCTGTCATCTGTCTGTCAATTCTGTCATAGTGTTTTATTTTTATACCATCATTTACTAAAAAGTTGTTTTAAACCTGAATGAGTTTCTTTCTTCGGCTGAACATAAATGCTATTTTGAGGAACGTGGAAAACCAAAGAGTTGCTGGTCCACAGTGACTTCCATAGTATTTTTTTCCTACTATCAAATTTAATGTGGACCAGCAACTGTTTAGTTACCCAAATTCTTCAAAATATCTTCTTTTGTGTTCAGCACAAGAAAGAAATTAATACAGGTTTGGGACAACATGTGAGTGAGTAAATAATGACAGAAATTAAATTTTAGAGGGAACTATCCCTTTAATGACAGTCAGCTGAATGTTTAATACTGTCCCTTTAAGAGCTGCACGCATCTAATATACAGACGGCTCTGTCACACGCACCCTGTCACTGTAAACTGGCCTGTCAATCATCTTATCACAGTTAACATCCTCCACATTTTATTTAATTTAACTTCCTACCGTACTGGAGAGAAAAGAAGTAGCTCGTTGATCTGCCAGTCACTGGTCTTTCATGCGGAGAGCTCTGCTGATATTTTCTGCATAATGATGCATTTAAAAGTTCACGACCAAATGGATGTTTATAAAAGTTCACATTACTGTTGCAGATGAAATATAACAAGGAT